CCTGCTGGAGTTTGCTGAGATAATTTTACTTTAATTGCCCTCTTGCAAGTTGAGCTAGGATTAATTTTAGCTTCACAGTTGCTCTGAAAACCTCCAAACTATAATGGTTCTGGTGATGACATCATTTTGCCATCTGTCTTACAAAAGGCATGAGCAAGAATGATGGTGGCAGTACTGCTGAGCTTTGAGAGGTAAGTCAAAGGACTGTCTCTGGAAGCCACGTGGTATTGTCCTCCTGATTAATAGTTGGCTCTCAGGAACACCAGCTGAAAGGCAGAATAACCTGAGGAAAAGCTTTTTATACCGATGCAGCAAGTGGACTAGTAACAGCTGGAAAAGCAGTGCTGCTCAGCTCATATTCAAAATAGGAATAAAGCTAAAAATTATTACTGAGTTGGAATATAAAGCCTGGGGGTGGAAAGAGTCAGGAAATTATCTATAGAGAAATTCCAAAGATATTTAAGTGCATTTTTAGAGTCTTTGTTCAGAAATTGTTAAAGACAGATTTTTTTTTTTTCTTTTGTTAAAGACAAGGATGTTTTTGCTGAAAATTATTTTGCAGTTTGTTCTTGTTTGGAAGTGTTTCTTTTATATCTTTAACAAATGCTCCAGATCTGGAACAAACACCAGCAGGCCTCATTTTGACAAGACTAGAGAGAGAAACATGGTTGCAAATGAGATAATAAACTAAACACCATCTTAAGGGAGGAAAAAAAAAACATGCTCTTTCTGTGTTATAGTTATTAAATAGACAGTATACCAACAAATAAATGGTAAATATATTCAATTTATCTAGGCTTTCAGAAAGTTTGATTAATCTTTTAAAGAGGCCTGTTGAGGACACTGAAGTATGCAAAAGATGCAAAGTTAATCTCTTTCCTGGATGGAAAGAAATCGCAAAAATAATTATCTCTTTTCCATTGGAAGGTATGGTTACTCCAGGATTTTTAATAAACTGCTTCCTGCAGTGTATTTAGTGTATTGTGGTTTTTTGTGAGCACACAAATATAGAAAATACATAAGTATAGAAACTGAGATAACCAGAGCCATTGATGTTTAACATTTATTAATGAGCCATAAATGTTAATACACAATCATTGATTAAAATTAACCAAAAAAGTTAGATGATTGGACAAATAAAATGTAGGGACAGTAATTCTTAATTGATGGGACAAATTGACTTGTCTTTAGATCCTCAGAAATCTCATCCCATTTCAATTCAAATAAAAATATACAAGTACGGTTGCCATTAGTGAAATCCAGGCACTTGTTCACTGGGCAAATAAAAACTTGGTTTGTTAAAAACATAGATACACTTCACAGATCTCTTTTTTACTAGATACACTGAACTTGCAAAGTTACTTACATCTTATCTTACACATTATTCTTTAAAACTGGAGAATTTTCACCTTTTTTACTACCTAAGTCCTTTTTGTTCTTTATGCTGGACTTAAAATGATGAAAGTGAGAGCGCACCTTGGTATTCCTCCTGTTCTTCTCAACTTTGTAATGAGACAGAGGACTTTGTAATTAGACACTTCCTTATTCATAGTTTTTCCTGCAGCTTTTTGCGCCTTTCATCTTCACTCACATAGTTTATTACTTTCAACCTTTGTCTGGAAAGGCAAATGTCAGGTCTTCAGCAAATTGCTGTTGTTGCACATGAGGTTATTGGGCCCTTGACCCAGTACAGCTCTTACTCATGTTGAGAAGTGTTTCCAGTTCATCACATCTGGTACTGGATCTCATTCAGATTATGAACTCGCAGTGTTTCAAATCTGCTGACTCCAGGCTCTTGCTTGAAAGAACTTTTATGGAGAGTTCTGATGTGGCAGGGTCAGGAGATGGCTGCTTTTGTAGAATTTCTGCCTCTACTTCTCCAAGCTTTGAATGTTCTCCATGATTTTGAATGATCAAGTTCCTACTCTTAACAGTATTGATCAGAAGTCATGTTAGGATTCCTGCCCCTCAAATCTAAACCTGCCATATCTTACTGCATGTTTTTCCCATGACATCACAGCATAGCCATATCATATAACTACAAATGTTGACAATTCCTTTAACTTTCTACCAATTTCCCATTAAATAAATGGGAAATAAAACCCTCATATTGTCAATGTATCCAAGACCCCATGGTCACTACTGATACTGATACTCTATGAGATATTTAGATTAACTGTGTTAAGGAAGATTCCAAGATGGATTTGACAAGCTTGTGTATTTTTTGGCTTCACATGCATTGTATTTAACTGATAAAGAAGTATTTAATAATCCCAGAGAGGAGGGATGGTGACCTGTTGTACACTTCAGAAAACCAAGTGACTTCACCAGGAAGTTCAGGGTCATGACGGTGAGCAGCTATACATCTCTGCATTCCAAGGGCTTTGTGCTTCTTGACCTAACAAAATTAATCTTTCCAGATATAATATAAAGTATGCTTTGTGTATGAACTAGCTTCACTTTAAGGTGTTTCTGGACTGCTATCAATGTGAGGTTCTCTTGTCTGGATTTGTGACAGGAACAATAAATAGGAATGTCACTCTCCTTTGCTGGACTTCTACCTGATGAACTGGCCTTACAGAGGTTGGGCCTCTTTAGACTTTCACCTCTGAGATTTTGTTTAGGTCTAGTTCAGTCTTTAGAAAGCCCTTCTGTTGCAGAATATGTTCCAAGTCGTGAGAGATACAATTGCATTTGAATGTACAACTGCTACCTCAGTAATGTCTTACCTGTGTTTTAGTCACAGGATGTAACTTCATTATATGCTTCATTAGACCTGAAAATCTCACTCCTCTCTGGGATGACCTGTATGGTCAGGCAGTCCTTCAGTGGTGAGAAGACCTACCCATTCCATTCTTCATTTTGCGTTATCATAAGAGACAATCCTTTGTAGGCAGAGAGCACCTATGGAAATGGTGGATATCTTGGTGCAAAAAGACCAACTGTTTCATATCGGTGTTCTTGAGCTCTGTTTCTTTCCCTGCTGGAAGCAAATGATCCAGTCATTCAATACACTAGCAGATAGATTTGATTCAATGCTGCTTTGGTGAGCCCAGACTGGGAGATCAGATCCAAGGATCTGATGTCCATCTGCCTTTTAAGCAGTACCAGATGTTCTGTTCTCAACTCCAGTAATCTTATGAATTAGATGCAGTCTTGGTTCTATTATCAGGTAAGCTGGTATGTGCAGTTTCTCAAATCCTGAAGATTCTGCTTAAGGTAGGGCATAAGGAGATGCCCTTCATAATCCTAACTGAGCAAACTGAGACAGATTAAGTACCAGAATCATCTTAGTCTGTCAATAAGAAGTCTAAAATCTCTCCTCCTTTCCTGATCTATTAATTGAAAATTTTAGAGGCGCAGTACAATCTTGATCTTGCTCTATGTCTCTGTGGATATTTGGAGGCTCTTATTATAGTCTCATGAAAAATAACCTCATGGTATTCTGAGACTGTTCATTTCTCGACAGTCTTTATCCTGTTATCTTGAAGCTCTTGAAGCTGAGATTGTGTCAGGTAGTTCAGTCTAGATCAATTTACCTCTTCATTCTCTGGTGGCTGCTGCTTCAGAATTCTCATTATCTGTAGGCTTTGCAAAATGTTGCTGAAATGGTAGGCAACACAAAATTATGAATAAGTAGGGTTATTGGTTGGAATAATTCAGTGTGCATGCGCGGTGTCTTAAAAACAGAAAAACAGGGAGAGGGAGCTGACTTTACTACCCTGTTTTTCATTCTCCTGGCTGAGTGTCTGTCATCAATACTATGCTAATTGTGTCCTGCCTTATAACTTTGTGTAACAAAAGTAAGAAATGGTAGTATATAAGTATGCTGACAACTAAGTGTGTTTGCTATATAAATAAATCAATAAATTAGTGTCAGGTAGTGGAAGTGTATGTATGTGTGACTCTTGGATATATGCCATGAAGAACTCAGCTACTGTTTCTCTTCCTTTTGTATTAAGTACGGAAGAATGTACCGAAACAGAAAAACATACAAAAATAGTTATCATTTATATTAACAAAGGTAACACCAATTGTATTAGCTAGGAGGAAAATAACCATGAAATACTAGTTTTAACCAATCAGATAATTCAGAGGGTGCAGAATATCTGCAGAGAAGGATTCTTTAAAATTTTGGAAGCTTTGTGATTGACCTTAATACTTGGTGTAATGAGTTAGGTGTTCTCCAGTCCTAGCCAATATTGTACGTTAAATCATTGTTCCTGTGTACTGTCTTCTGTTTTCCAAGTGAACTGGAACCATTTATCACTTAGCATAAAGTTGAAATTCAACATTTAGATATATGGTTGCGTGTATCAATTTAAATAGGTGCCTGGAATACTTGCTAAGAAACGATGCCAATCCGGGGATCCGAGACAAACAAGGATACAATGCAGTTCATTATTCAGCTGCTTATGGTCATCGCTTATGTCTTGAATTGGTAAGAAAACGTATTCTAGATGAAAGCTGTAACAGCTGCTCTTACGGAGGATGATGCAGGGGCCAGGGGACTCCTTCACCTTTGTTCTTCATCTGTAAGCCAGGTCGATAGTGGTTTTCAGCCCCTGTGAGCATAAATATTTCAGCACTTGGTACTCTTAAAACAGGGACAAGCTGAGTAGCTAAGATGGTAGATACTGGCTTAAAAAGATAATAAATGCTGAGATGAAGAGTTAACCGATTGAGGATGTGGGTTATTAGTTTTGTTTTGTTTATTAGCTTTGAATACACTAATTTTTTTCCTGATGGCTAAAATAAAATAACCACAGGTTATCCCCCTGAGAAGTATTAAGATATTTCACAAATGCAATCTGAAGGAGCAAATGGAAATGCAGGGAAAACCTGTAAAGTATAGAGTGCCTTTTAAAGTAGTCTACTGGCCGCTTAACAGAATTCGAGATAATAAAGCATTAGGTAGTTTTTTATTAATCCCTTTGCAGAAACGTGTATGTTATTTGATATGATAATTTTATCTCCTCTGTGTTATACAACTTCGTATTTTTATACAAATTATCCTTTTATATTCAAATGTAAATAAATGTACACATTACATGTAAAATGTAATATTCAAACACGAATTCTGAATGTTTTTAATTGCAGATTGCAAGTGAAACGCCTCTAGATGTTGTAAGTGTGTATTATTTCTTACTGTTTAAGTACTACTGCAAAAAGAAATGTCATTTTAAAAATACTGCTTATCTTCACACTTATTCAACTGTTTCTTCAATGCATAGATGCATTATTTAATTTCAGTTGCTATTTAGATTTAATTGCAATTCAGAATTGTAAAACAGAAAATTATTTTTAAGCCATTTTCTTTTTTTTACTTAACATTCGTATGACCATGTTATACAAATGTGATAATGAAAACTTAGTGATCTGAATGTATTTAGTGTTCTTCAAACTCCTTGAATGTTTTAATTCTACTAGTGCACTAAATTAAATATGATCCTGAAAGAGACTCAGAATTAGAACTTTAGAATACATCTGAAAGTAACAAATAGAACTGCATGCACATAGATATTTTCCTCCTATTTCATAACACTTGTGCCTTTGTTTTGGACCATTTCTTCTCTTGGGGAAATGTTTTTGTTTTGAGAAATCAGTCCTGCCTTCTGGCTTTTCATACTGTTTTCTTGCTGACTTTTCACCTAATCTAAATGCTTGCTTGCTTGTTGGGTTTTTTTTCCCCTACTACAGCTGTTTTCACGTGTCCTTGTCTTCCTTTTGTATGCATTTCATCTATATTATTTCATACGGCTGCTTCAGGAAAAAGAATAATTTTACATTAGTTTCTGTTTTAATTACTGCAGTTATGCAAAACGGAACAACTATGAAGATGAATATGGGGGAGGGGTTGCAGTCATTGCAATTCAAACTCCTTTAAAAGGTTGAAGGGGATCTTGAATTCTGAAGGAAACTATAATCCTATCTTATTCTTCCTGCTTTTCTCCTTTTATATTTCAATCTGTGTATGCTGGAAACTGTAGCAATTATTGCTGAATGTTTTTAAAGGTGAGGGTTTTTTGCACTTACTCGGACTTTCTCTTTTTTGAAGCTAATGGAAACATCAGGTACTGACATGCTGAATGATTCAGACAACAGAGCACCTATAAGTCCACTGCATTTAGCTGTAAGTATTTCATTCTTTAGTGATGATAGCTCATCTCATTGCAAGCAGTTGTTGAAATAGGTTTATTCATTCTGGATTTTTCAAAAATAGGTCAGTAACAATAAATGAAACACAAAAATACGTACATAATATTCCAGAATGAGCTACACACCATGATTTTTGCATTTCACTTACAATTTGCTTCATGGAGCAGTTTCATTTGGAATCTTCCAATTAAGCTTTATTTTATAGTTTATACTAATGAAACTTTTAGAAGACTGGTTCTATAAGTAATGGCTTTATCATCATCATTGTTTAGTAAGAGAAATGTTTGTCCTTAATACTTCAAGAAAGATTTTGCACAGAGAGTGGTGTAGGAGAGGACTTGATGAAACTGTCAATACAAATATACTCAAAATACAGGCTTAATATGTAGCTTTCATCTGTTCACTGGACTTCTAGCGATTGAAAAACCTCAATGTATTTTCTGAAGTTAGCCTGTCTCATGCAGTACAGATGTGTATACATATACATATATATATATATAAAGTAAAATGTAATCTCTAATACTGATAAAAGAAAGCAGTTATAAGAGACTGTTCCTGGAAATTAGTTTTGTCTGGGGACAAAGGTTATGTATACATGAGTATACTTTTAAAATTTATTATGGAAATTATAAAGCCATAGTTGTAGATGTTTATTTTCATTAATAACTTTGACACTTTGTCTTGATATATACCTACAGAGTATTCTCTATGCTATTTTTTTTATCCTTGAGTATCCATTCTGATCTCTTAACTGTTTCATCCCCTAAGTCTCTTTTATTTTACCAGTTATGTTAACTGTAGCTATCTGTACTGTATTCTTTTTACTTACAAATTTTACTGTTTTTTTCTTTTTTAAATACCTTATTTAAAAAGCTAACAGTATTTACTTAAGTTTGCATATGTTCCTCACTTGAAATAATCTGAGGGTGATGTAATTATAACATAAAGCAATGAAACATGCTGTATTCAAAATACTGGTAGTTACACAAATTGGGGAGACATGATTTTCTGAAAGTGTTTTCAGTTGCTGACTGAAAGGGCAAAATGGCAACCTTATTTCTGAAATGGTGAGGTTTTTACAATTAGTCATAATTAATGTAACTACCTACATGCTGCATCAGCTCTTCCACATGTTAAAACAAATATACTGTCTTCGCAGTTTCACTTGTGTAAACCTGGTAAGAAAGGGGAAACCGTGGAGGATGGGCAAACTGAAGAATTTTCTTACTCTTACAGGCCTACCATGGCCATCATCAAGCTCTGGAAGTGCTGGTACAGTCACTGCTGGACCTTGATGTGAGGAATAATAACGGAAGGACACCACTGGATCTCGCGGCCTTTAAGGGACACGTGGAATGTGTAGATGTGCTCATTAATCAGGGAGCATCAATCTTGGTGAAAGATTATGTTGTAAAGAGGACCCCAATACATGCTGCAGGTATGTGCTAACCTCTAAAATTTTGGCTTTTGAAGTAGTTCATCTTTCTGTTTAGAAGTCTCTGTCATTGATGTTCTAAGAAATGGTGTTTAGGAATAGACAATGACTTCTAAGGCATATACTATGCTAAAAAAGGTGTAGCAAAGCAGTTGCGGGTAGAAACCAGTATTAACCCATTAATAATAAAAACTTTTATTATTAATAATAAATCATTTTGGCTTGAGGAGCGCTGTTCCATGCTGCTCTCAGCAGGGTGCATGGTCCTTGTCCATTCAGCTACCTAGGCTGACATGTTCCTGATTCTCTTGTCATCCTTCACAGAGCCCAAACTGTAGGCCCAAATATAGGTATGTGAATTGTGTTGCCTGTCTTGGCAGTAAAGTACTTCTCAAGATGACTGCAGTCTTGGAGATTTCTGTCAGTTTGAGAAGAGACGTGAAACCAATATTTTCAGTTTTTTCCAAAGATTTAAATGACTCCTGAGTGTTTTCAAAATAACAGCAATCATTTGCCATATTTTCTCACTGGCTTTCCTAGAAGACTTCTATAAACCTACCTTTCTCAAACTCTAGCATTTATACTATATTTTTACTTACTTCTTCTCTTTAAAAATAGGCTTATTTAAATTGACATTTATAGTTACGCTGTTGTAGAAATGTTGCCGTAAAAAGAGCATTATGTACAAACCATCGTTGTTCTAACCACTTAATTTGTTGTCCATGAACACAAGCTGCATTCTTCTGTTTGATTTAGCTGCTTCTAACTTCTGTTAGCATTTCTGTCAGCTAGAGAAGCTTGAACTGTCACTGTTTTTGTGTGGACTGAATGCAGCAGCTGTATGTCAGAAATAATTTCCCCTCCAAGAAGCAATCATTTATCTTTCATGAGTTGCATTTAAATGTGATTTCTCAAATTTTTGTTTCTTTTTGCTTTCCCTTTTTTTTTTTAACTCCTTGGTTAACTACTTCTATGCATTGCATTTCCTTCCTCTCTTTCTAAACATGAATTCAGTTACCATTTCATAACTATGCACATGCTACACTTGCTAACAAAATTTGTGTATGATTGGCTAGGTATGTGTTTACCTGTGCCTTAAAACAAGCAAAAGTTACGCTAATTACTATATTTAATTAGTCCTCGTTGTGGATGTTGTATAAGCATATATTCTAATTATGGTTAATGTGTGAAACTTCGTTTATATGTAAAAAAAACAGATACCTGTTGGCAATTGACAGCTGAAATCAATTACTTTTAATACCGTACAGTTGCCAATGCCTGATTTCTGAAATAATTTTCTAATGTTTATCATTTTTTCGTTTTAATTTAAGCTGTAACAAGGGTAACGCTGTGGGTTCTCAAGCTAACAGACTCTAGTCTGAGCAAGTTACCATTCTGTTTGAGCTGTTTATTCAAAGGCAATTAATGTAAAATTTTTTATGATGTTTTACAGCTACAAATGGTCACTCAGAGTGTTTGCGGCTGCTGATAGGAAATGCAGAACCACAGAATGCAGTGGACATTCAAGATGGAAATGGACAGTGAGTTTAAACAATGCACATTCTGTTCTTCACAAGTTACTGCACTTTATAAAAGAAAAATAAATATTTTACATGGATTAATCTGGATTTATTACTTTAAAGGGAGATGATATTTGAACTAGGACAAATGAGACAGTGCATTTTCCAATAAACATTCTGAGGCGATGAAAAATGTTCAGTTGGGAGGAAACCAAGATGTGTCTTACTGCGGAGATGCTGATAAATGGATTCTTGTAACTTAATCAGGACTTCTGAATTAGGAGATATTTTATTTCTTGAATCGAAAAAGTAAATACGAGTTGAATCCTCAAAGTGAAGGTAGTGCTAGAGAAGATCATTGATGATGTAAATTTTAACAGTGTTGTCCAGAAGGACAGTAATTGTTAAATTTCAGCCAAGTGGTGGTCTGTTAAATTTCCATGCAGATTACCCTTTATTTCACTCTCTGCTTAGGACTCCTCTGATGTTGTCGGTTCTCAACGGGCACACTGACTGCGTTTATTCACTCCTTAACAAGGGAGCAAATGTAGATGCCAAAGATAAGTGGGGAAGGACAGCATTACATAGAGGGGTAAGAGAATATTCCTTTTCTGTCCTTTCCAGTTTTATACATACTAATTTCAAATACAGACTTAACACGTAGTGTTAATTAATTCCTCATTATTCTCATCTTGCCATTCTTAGTTTTTAACTGTCTTTTAATTGCTTTCAAAAGGCTAGCTTTTGCCTGTTTGTTGTTTGGACTTCTGGAGTCTCTAAATCTTGCTGTAAAGTGTTGACTGGAGAGATCCCGAAGTACAGCTTTTTGTTACAGGGTGGGGGTAGTGTTAATAGGAGGAAGAAAACTGTGATGCGTGCCATATGCTGAATTTTTTTTATAGTCTCTGCCAGATAAGACAGTTGAATGAGCTCTAGAGATTAGCAGTTCATTCATTGTTATTCCAAGAAATTATCCTGTCATCAGTATGATACATTGCTGTTTTTTCCAACAGAATGGCTGTTTCTAGGAATAAAAAATAACAGCTGTGCTTATTTTGTTATTACTTAAAAATGTAAGAAATTGCCTGAAATTTGCTTACTTGAGTTATACACCTTGGCTTATATGCATGAGTATTTGCAAATTTGCTATTTCCTGTCTCTCTCTCTCTCAGGCAGTCACAGGGCATGAGGAATGTGTGGAAGCATTACTTCAACATGGTGCTAAGTCCTTATTACGAGACTGTAGGGGGCGAACCCCTATACACTTGTCAGCTGCATGTGGACATATAGGTGTTCTGGGAGCTCTTCTGCAGTCAGCTACATCTGTGGATGCAGTACCTGCAATAGCAGACAATCACGGCTATACATCACTGCATTGGGCCTGCTATAATGGTAAAATACATTAAAGCTGAAACGCAGGTCTAAATGTGTGTGTTGATACTGAGATAGAAGTTACTACTCATAATAAAAGCAGCATATAAAGTCTGTCCTCTTTCTGTTCGTATTAGTCAATGTGACAATATGAAAGAAATGGTATCTTGAAGGGGGGTACATTAACATCTAATACATACTATGAGGTGTTTGTACTACATTTTTGTTATAAGCGGCCTTCTTAGTTTTATGCCTCAAGGAGCCTCTCAAGAAATTCAGCGTAGTACCTGTGAATAGAAATGTGTCATATCCCCCAAAAATAACCTTCACAGGGTGTCTTGGGAGGAATGGTTTCAGATTAAATCTTTTTTTAAACTTCCTTCAGATCAACCTTGATAGGCACAAGAAGCTAAAGTATATAAAAGTGATTAAATAAGAATTTCATTTTTTTTTCTTCACTGATACTTTTCTTGGATTTGGGGATGAGGAAACTCATTCAGCTCCTTTGCTAAAGGTTTTGTTCTGTGTGTTCCTTTCCAACATAGTAGAGGCTCTCATTTATTTCACTTCTGAGTCACATAATAGAGAAAGATCGAGAAGTAAGGGTTTAGAGCTTCACTTTACCAATTATTTTTTAAGTTAATAACTAACTAGACTGTCATCCCAGCTGAAGGAACTGGGTAATACACTGGTAGTTTGAACTAGAATAACACCTCTTTATCACATTCATAAAATTAAACTCGTAGAGCTTGGTCCATTTTCAGAGTGACTACGCTGTCCGAATAAAATGGCAATGAAATATGCTTCATTTGTAGGATGAAAATTTGACAGGACCTGTGAAAATACAAATCTTCACACAACAGTAAATGTTGAACTAAGGTTCTCTGCGTATATGCATCAAAGATCAAACAGATAGTTACAGTTATTAGCTACCTGTACAGCAGCAGGCTATAGAATTTTGAAAGTAATAGTATGATAGGTTGAACATGTTCTTTTTAAGCTTTTGTTATGACTTTGGGTTTTAATTTGGGTTTGGCAAGGCAGTAGAAGAAAAATAACCCTCAAATGGTGGAGACATTTTAATGTAGACTAAGTGGTGTATGTACAGAAAATTCTGAAACATGGAAGTGTGAAGAACTAAATTAAGTGTTCTGGATGTTTTTCAGACAGCACAAGATCTCTTCTAAATTTCACAAAGATTACAGTGTTAAATATCAGTTTGATTTTCAGAATTCTAAAAATGTTGTTGTTCCTAAATGTAGCCTTATTGGAAGTAAATAGTGTGTTGTTGAAACTTTAAAGTGAAATATTGCTTAATCTAATTTAGATACATATTTTTGTTGTAATCCATAAATAGACCTTTTCCCTTTTTTAATACCTAATGTTTATGTTTCCTTTAGGTCATGACAGTTGTGTAGAGCTCCTCCTGGAACAGGAAGTTTACCAGAAAATGGAAGGAAATTCTTTCAGTCCGTTGCATTGTGCTGTGTAAGGAAGTGCAAAATTATTCTTCATAGATTTCATTGCTGTATTTAACAAAAGATTTATCATTCTGTAAGTAACAGCCTGTTTAATTCATTGTAGGATAAATGACAATGAAGGTGCTGCAGAAATGTTAATCGATACTCTAGGTGCTGGTATTGTAAATTCAACAGATTCAAAAGGAAGGTAAGAGTGTAAATACGTAGTGGAAGAATGTTTGTCATGTAGTTGCAGTGGCTCTGCTAAATGGTATAATCATTTGGGCCTTTTGTATTTGCTACTTACATTAATTCCCTCTTCCCCCGTTTTTGTTATTTGATTTTTTTTTTAATTCTGTGCTAGAAATAATTTTTAGATTTTTAAAAATCCTGTTCTGATTGAATTGGCTTTTTATTACATAGGCGATTTTGAGCATGTTTTAAATTCTGTCACTTTGTGGGCAAATTTTATGCATATTTTATTTTTTCTGAATCAAACTATATCACTGTTATAAATGATATAGAGGGAATTATTTGAAACTTGAAGGTGGCTCTCCAGCAATATTGATTTCAGCAAGATGGACTGCCCAGCCTTTTATACCTGCAGGATCACAGTCAGGTTCACATACTTTGAATAAAGTAGAAAGCATGGGTGAACATGGCCATGTTGTCTTTTGATCTGTTGTAGAACTCCTCTTCATGCAGCAGCTTTCACAGATCACGTGGAGTGTCTACAGCTTCTGCTCAGTCACAATGCTCAAGTAAATGCTGTGGATTCTTCTGGGAAAACACCTCTAATGATGGCTGCAGAAAATGGACAGACAAATACAGTTGGTAAAGAGAAAGCTTTATGTATTTCCGCTCTTAAGTTCGTTAATCTTACTATAGGTAAAGTTGCCCTGTAGTTAACCTTCTTGCGGATATATTTTGTCAAAATAATATTTTCATTTCGCACAAATGTAAGCCATTAAGAGTTGAAGGAATATGCTTTTAGTTAATACAAATCTTTATTTCCCCAGAGGTGCTGGTTAGCAGTGCTAAGGCTGATCTGACTTTGCAAGACAGCTCTAAGAACACAGCACTCCATTTGGCTTGCAGCAAGGTGTGTGCACAGTCTGACTTACTGGTGCTGAGCTTTCTGTTTGCAAATATTCACTTGTTACTTTGAAAAGTCATTCAAAGCAATTTTTGAAGAGTATTTGTTATATGACAGATGTTTGTTCTGTATTAAGGGTCATGAAACTAGTGCCTTGTTAATACTGGAGAAGATTACGGACAGAAACCTCATCAATGCCACCAATGCAGCCTTGCAAACGTATGTACCAGCAGTGAGTGTGTTTTACAGATGAGGTTTTGGTGTGTGTTTGCTAAAACCAGTATCTTGTTCATAAAGAGGAATCGTCTTCAGAAATTTTTTCCCAAATTGGTTGAATTTTGATCCAATTGCTTAACGGGTACCAAGACTTGAAGTGAAATGGTGTTTTGTTCATACGTAAAGTTCTAGTTTTAGCTGAGTGAGAGGGAGAGAGGTATGATAAATCTTACTGTGTTGTGATTCAGGGAATCCTGTGTGGAATTAGTGCAATCCTCTGATGTTACCTGTAAACCAATATTTTTCTGCTTTTTAAATTACCTAATTTTTCAATTAAAGTTCACTTCAGTTAACATCTCGTTGGAGGCAAACTAAGACTTGCTCTTCAAAGGTAGCTAATAAAAAATCTAGCTGAAGTTTTTTTTTTTCTTCAGCATGCTTTGTTAGGAAAAGATACCTATTGCTACTAGGATAATTACTAGGACTATTTTCTATTCAGTATTATGAAGAATACAGTATTATTTATGCTTCCTGAAGATCTTCGCTCAAGTAGAATTAAGCCTATTTCCTTAGCCCAATCACAGGGAAAACTTAAAAATGTAGTGGTATGTCATAGTGGGGAATATATTTCAGGATGGGCTATTAAAATTACTCTCCTGCATTTTTTTCCTTTTAAAGAATGTATTTGTGTTATAGGCAGTATTTGACACTTGATACATTGCTGAGTTATGTACATGAATTTTTAGACTGCTTGAATAATGCTATCACAGACCATTTAGGGAAAAAAACTCTGGGATTTGTAAGCAACTTGTGTATTTCTCTGGGCTTGCATCCCTTCTGGAATCTCTCATGTCCAAACTCCTACAGTTCTTCCAAGTCTTTCCAGAGATCTGCTTGAACTCAGGAGTTGAGTACAGTCAGGCTCCTTCCTCTGCTCTGCTCCTGCTGCTCACCATGGGGCACCTCAGGCAGCAGGAAAGCAGAAAAAGGATTCATTGCCCCAGATCTGGCTTGAAGAGGAGAAAAAAAGCAAAACTGAGATGGGAACAGTAACTTCCTCACTATGTGGTGCCATAAAGAAAAGAAAGTGCACAATTGTTACTACTGTACAGTTTCTTTGGAATGAGAAAAGAGATTTGCTGGGTTTCCTATCTTATTTATTATATCTACAATATTTACATAATGTGTAAGTAACATACCAGTATGAATACTTCAATAATCATTTAACTAGATGCAAGCTACCTATCTTGTTCAAAGATTTATATACCTATAAGGTTTATATTTGCTTGTCTTCACAGACCTCTGCATGTTGCTGCTCGGAATGGACTAACGGTTGTAGTCCAGGAGCTTTTGGGGAAGGGAGCAAGCGTACTTGCTGTAGATGAAAATGGTAAGAACAAATTCAACTTCATTTCCCCATAAGGAACTGTGGTTTTAAACTCGTCTCACTGAAAAGCAATGACCCTTTGGGAATTTCATATGAGCCTTGCAGTAGGTTACCCCATAGGAAACAAATGTGTTGTTTTGGTGATGGGTCATTTTAGCAAAGCTCAGAAGTGTAAGAGGAGTGAAAACTTTCAGAACAATGCAGGTCGCGGCATGGAAATGTTTGATTTGTATTTGTGGTTTTATAATGTATATGCTATAAATACAGTAGCTTTGGCATAATGGAAATGGGGGGAAAAATGTAATGCTCAAAGTAAAATATAACTTTCAGCTGTTGAGAAGCTGGATTGCATTTCCATCCATTTTGGGACGGTAGGTATATTGGTGTTAGTTTTTAAAAGCAAGTATGGACTACAGATCTGTTACTGGTCTCAAGCTTCTGGCTTCAGAGTTTTTTGGCACATAGAAGTATGAAAAAGTAACTTCTTCATCACAGAGAATAAATCCTATAGCTTTTAAGAACAAAAGAGAATTGGATCTACTGACTTCTTATTTGCATATATTCATGTAAGAAATCCGCAGACCTCCAATGCTGTGTTTTTAAAAGCATAATAGTTCCTGCTCTTATGCCACACCCCAGTATGGCTTTTAAATGTAAGCAGTAGCTGGAGTGTGGGGGGAATAGATATTTTCCTTTTTTAAAAAAAATTTTTCTAATTTTTTTGTCATTTTGTTGTTGTTGTTGTTTGGCTTTTGTTTGTTGTTGTTGTTGTTGTTTTTCCCCAGAAGGGATGTGCCTAATTAATAGTTCTAATTATACTTCCAATTTGGAAAGTTTTTCCCTGTTAATGTCTACTGTGACTTTCCCTAAAATGAAAAGATTGGAAAACACCTTTTTGAGTTTTGTTTCTCATCACAAGTATGCTAACTGGAGATGCTGTTTGTACTTTTGTGGGCTTTTCATGTGCAGCCAGCCTTGGTGCCTTGTTAGGGTGCACCTTTGGCAGCACAGAGAAAAGTTGGTTGTATAGAAGTCACAGCTCTCTGGCAGCCTGGGGATCGACCTGCAACGTGTTAAACAACTTCTAATCCTGTTGAATTTTAAAGAAAATCTTGAGTGCTACCTACTCTCATTCATCACTGTGCTTCTTACCTTTTCCTTCTCATAGCAATTGCTTTGTTCATAAAATTTTAAGTAGCCTTGAGAATATTCATAATTAATTCTTTTTCTGTTAAATGAATGTGCCAGCTTAAGGTACAGTATATGCATAGTGATGAATACTTTGGAGTTGTGAGAGAGCAAGGGAGATTTCAATGGGTTTTTTCAGTATATTTCACCTGTCACTGTAATTTTTCTCTTAATTCTTAGAAGTATTAATATGTCAGCCGGCTTGCTAAACCTGTTGCAAAAGTTTTCTTGATTTCCATAGCGTACCTTTTCTATTAAGTGGAAAAGCTGGCAGTAGTGATAGCCAAGTTCTGCTTTAGGTTTGCTTGTCTTTCAGCATCTGCTGCTAGAGGATAAGTATTGCTAAAGAAAAGAAATATTAAATGCATTTATTCTAATAAAGTGAAAATGTAGGAGAAACTTTTTTTTTTATTAGAAAGGCTTAAAAGAGTATGATTCATGCATTTTTGGGGGTGAAAGCTCTCTGTTTAGCAAAGCAGACTGAAGAAATAGGCGCTGCAATATTTTGCATCACAACACTGACACTCCCTTACTGTAGCATAGCTCAGATAAGTACAGTGATCTGCCACGCAAGCTTGGCGTTTCAGATAAAATCAAATGAAACTGGAGGTAAGGGTTGAGTTAGTGTTCTACATGGATGTGTCTTGATATGTGGAACGTGTAACCAGCAGAAACTCAGCTGGTATGGAGTGGTGATCCCCTTTTTGTCTTGAAGTTCTTCCTTTCTGTAAAAGCTGTGTTGACCTTTTTTACAAGCGGTCTCTATTTGTGTCTGTATCTGTATAAAGCTACTTAATGGACCTCTGTTGTATCTGAGCTACAGAAAATGATTGAAAAACGTGACCTTTGGATAAAAACTGACATCACTCCAATTCTCTGGATTTCAGTATATACATAGTTTATAATTTTAAAACTCTAGATTGGAAGTCATACTGCTTTTGTTATAGAGCATCTTTTAATGTGATAAGATCACTTTTTGAGATGTTTGAGAACGAATGTGTGTGGAGAACTGTAACCCTTTTGGTTTCCAAAAGTAGTCATGTTGAGGATTCATTCTCAGTTCTGTATCAGTTTTCACTCAAATCTTTCAGCTCTTTTCCCGTGTTTCCACACCTGTTTGATGAAACTTTGCCATCACTCACATCTACAAAAATTCAGTTGAATTTTACATTAGTTTTGCAAGTTTGCCTGCCTTAGATTACTAGCTTTCTCTTTCATTTGTCACCAGCTGAAGTTTTATTTTTGGTTGCTCAGTCAACTTCCAAGGGGTTTTTGTTTGTTTGTTTGCTGGGTTCCTTGCTTGTTTGTTTTCCTGCTATTTCACTTACTGGGCTAGGTAAATTTCCTGATATTTTTTTATAATTTGTGTATTAATGTGCACCACAGCAGTGAGAGGAGCCACTCTCTAACTGCAGAGACTGACAGAGCATGGAGGTTTCTTTTGTTTTCTAGATTAATCATAACAGTGACGATTGGTCCAAGCTTTTTTTTTTAATTAAAAAAAAAAGCAGGGGATGTATATGTATTTTTTCTAAGCCTTTCTTTACTCATATTCTAGTTTATATTGGAGACCTCCAGTTTTCTGGAAGGAATTTTTCTTGTAAATGCTTATGAGATGACTCACACTTCAGATGCCTTTCTTCTCTTTCCCAAGCGTAACACTTTATTCAGGTTATCTTGAGAACCGTCTTTGCACTGACCGCATTAATAACCCTCAGAGTTTCCTGTAGGCACCTCCAAGGGAACTTTCATGCCCCAGGGGAGGGAGCAGCTCTGCTTTTGCGCAAGGGAAGTCCTGGTCTTAAGCCCATGTCCCCCACTTAGGCCCTGTTTTCTGTTGTGCGAGGAAGCTGCTTCACCTCCCTCTCCTTCTCTTGCCCTGTCTGTGAATGAGGACAGTGATACAATTTTTTGACCTGTGAAAGCTTATGCAAATACAAGCACAGATTATGGGGAACATTATATGAGAACTGAATAAGAGTATTTCAGTGGACTTGGTACATTTACCAACATCTTTTTTATGTATTTATACCTATTGTTGCCCTGACATATGAATGATTAGTTTGTAGTTGTTTGAGACATAATGTTTTGTTCTTATAATTTTAAAATAATTAGACAAAAACTAAAATGGTGGAGGATGCAGATGTCAGTTTTTTCTCAGTGCAAGCAGTTACTTCATTTTGCTACGTCTAAGGCAAGAATAAAACTGTTATTTCATTCTAGTTATGGAAGCCAGAAGCTTAAGATCTACAATCGAGTATTGGTATAAATACTGGTTTTAGAGAACCTCTAAAAGAAGCAATTAATCTGTTTAATCTTTACATGGGCCTTTAATGTTTTTTATGATGAACTGGGATGTTCAAAGGTAGCTGGTGACTGCTCGTTTTCATTCTTTGAGCTTTTATCAAATCATGTTGGTGACAGAAATGGTGTTGAGTATGGCCAGCTTGAATAAACATCCACTGTGTGTCAGCTTATCTTCATACAACCTCCAGCAACGAAATATTAAATTGTGTGCATCAGAGGATCAGTGCTGAGCCCTCTGTTCTGCCTGACATGCCTGAAACGCAGTCTTCAGCGGAGCATAGCAAGCTCCGGTCCTTGCTTCTGAGCCCTCTCAAGAAGTATCTCTTCTGCAGATGGTCACTGTTAATGCTGTTTAAGTGCTGTGGTACCTTCCTAACAGTGAAACATCCGCTGCGCTACTCTTCTGTATGACCCTATCACATGGTTGGCTGCTGCGTTTTGTGCTCAAATTATCTGTGTGTTTCCTTGGGTTGTGGGCTCCTTTGGGCAGGGACCGCTGTCTTGCTCTGTTCCAAACATCAAGCACAAGGTCTGTCCTGAGCACACAACAGTTCAAATGCAAGACTGTCTGTCCCCTGCTTGCTGTTTTCTTAATTTCTAGCTGCAGTTATTTTCCGTAACGTGCGTACTTGTTTAAAACTTCTGTGCAATTGTACAACACAATAACTACTCCTGAGCTCTATCCTAACACTTGACCTGGATCTAACTGTACAATAAAGCTGATTTCTTAGTAGTTGAAACAGTTGCTGGTAGAAGGGCATTGCCTCATTTTCCCTGTTTTCTTAAGGTCTGTAGAGCAATCAACCATGCAGTTTGCTTTAAAGCCATCTATTATTTAAAATTACTTGTGTACTTTTTATGTGGATGTTGTACACCTTTTAAGTTGTGGAGTGGGGGTAGCACAGGACTTCAGGCTCCCAAATGTACCTGAACGTGAGTCTTCCTGTTCAGCTTGTTGTGGGTAAACCTATCACATGCAGTGAGAGATACCGCAAAGGTGCTACAAGGTGGTCTGGCCTCCTGCTTCTGTGTGGAGCCAGGTAGAGGGAACTTGCTTTGGTCTTGGCAGCAGAATTAGCTGTTACCAGTGGTTGTACTTACGTGACTGCTCTGCTTCTAGAGCTGCCGGTGTCACCACCCATTGCAGTGCCTTGGTGTTGAAGAAATACACCGAGACTCGTGCCAAAACTTACCCTCAGGTACCTTGCTGAATGCTTAAGGCTAAGGCCTGAGACAGGAGCAATGCAGGGATCTCCACTGAGACAAAGCTGAAGCTTTTTTCTTGGTGTTTAATGAATGCATAGGGAAGGAGAAAGCTGCAGAAGGAGAAAAGTTAGAGCCACATTTACCCAGAAGAGTTTTCACAACTCTGTGACCTGACTGCAAATCGTTCCTCGGCTCCCTCTCCTGTATTTGGGGCCTGTCAAAGTCTCATTGCCTGGCTGAAGGAGTTTGGCCAGACCAGTTAGACAACCAAGAAGTGTAGTTTCTCTCTGCAAGGCCTAGCCTGCTAATCCAGCTGGCAGTTCCTCAAATGTCTGTGGATTTCTTAACTGATATCCCTCAAATAAAAGTTAGACACTGGCTTTAGAGTTTGTATTAACTGTAGATTGTAATAAAGGGTAGGTTGATTGGAATTGTATACTTGGCCGTTTCAGTTAACTGTCCCTGACGCTTTAGGCAGCTTGTTACTGAGACTGGACAGTCTTATTAAAAGAGCTGCCAATGAAGAACAGCTGTATGGAAGCTTCTGGATGGAGAAATATTTAACATGTTGAGCTGTAGTTTCTGCAGTGGCTGTCTAGTGAATGCCTCTACCCACTGCTGTTGGCTGCCATTAGCTGTCTCTCTTCAGCCAAGTAGCTTCCTCACCATTTTCAAATCCAGACTTTTCTTGCTGTGCTTAACAACACAATTACATCTCAATCCAGTTGATAATGCATTTCATTTTATATCCTTTGTTGGTTTTTTTTTTTAAGCAGTGCAGAACTAAGAAATATAAAATGCTATTGCAGCTGAAGGATGACAAGATCTTGGAGAAATTTTCACATTGTCTTTATTTTAAACAAAGGTTTTGTTTTCTTTCTTGACTTCCTAGGTTACACACCAGCTTTGGCCTGTGCGCCCAATAAGGATGTGGCCGATTGCCTAGCTCTCATTCTGGCCACGATGATGCCCGTTTCCTCGAGCAGCACATTACCTTCCCTTACGTTCAATGCCATTAACCATTACACGAACACCTCAAAAACTGTCACCTTCGATTCCTTGCCGATCATGAGGAGTGACCACAGCTCCTACTGTACTTTCAACAACATTGGCAGGGAAGATGGCTACCCGTACACAGAAGAAGATGAACTCAATGACTCGGATTCTGAGACCTATTAGGAGCCACGTTTTGTAGGTCTGAAGAGCGAACCCTCACACCAGAAGGTCAGACTTGGGCTTTTGAAAAAAAGCTACTGGTGTTTGAACACAGAAGGAGGACAGGCCTTTGAGAAGATGTTTTTTATTGTGGTTGCATATTAAAAAAAAAATCTGTGAGACTCTAGGAGGATTTTTAAGAACATATTTTGCAGAAGAAGCATAAATTCTTAAATAAGTACTTGGAATCCATGGCAAAAAAAAAAAAAGAATGTCAAAACTGTTTTATTTAACTGTATTCTACCATTGTGTTTCTGGTGCCGGGAGTAATTTCTGCAGACTGGGCGCCCTACTTGATGTAAATGACCACCACCATTGTACAACACAAAGGATGCTAGATTTAAGTGTTCTCTATGAAACTAAAACCATTTTGAAGGCAATAAATGAGTTTGGTACAGTAGGCATTGTTTGTGCTGCAAATTGCCAAAGGACCAAATAACTTAAAGATTTTTTTTTTTTTTAATTAAATAAGTTTTTGTGAAAACTGGAATAGGTTATTTGAGAAGTTGTTTCAACCAAACCTTAATTACTTCTGGAAAAGAAGCTTAGATTTGGTTTTAAATGTTGATTTATTTTTTTTAATCATCTGAAAGCCTTCCGACACTATTAAATGTACCATGAAAGAAAGCAGATGTACTTCTAAATTTTGTTTTCTTTTTCCTTTAGGTGAAATGAACTTGTCATACTTTTATAATACTAAAATTAAACCAGCTAACAAGGTGAAGTCAGGGTGAAAAGTGTACAGTGTAATAAACAAGGGAAGGGGTGGGAGATGCGGGAGGGAAGCAGTAACTGTTGCACAGTTTTAGATTATTTTTTTTAACCTTTGGGTTTCGGATTGAGTTTTTTTAATTTAAAAATACACAAGTAACTTGGAAACTATGAAACTGCATAAAAAATTGAAATAACATAATATGTCTTGATAACCCTGTTGTGACCAAGAGTTCTTTTCATTTATTTGTCCACTACCTTACATCATAAAGTCATATGTAAGATTAAAATGGTATATCCCTATCACTTTTTTTTTTCTTAAAATCCTGGAGTTACAAAGGTGGGGTGGGGGGAGGTGAATTTAAAAGTATATTTCCCTATTAGAGAGAAAAGTACAGTGTCTGGTCTGTGGAAGAGCTGTGTATCTTTGTTGTGCTCCATTTAGAAAATAAACAGCAGAAACAGGTCCCTGTAACGTAGTTCAGACTTGCCCGAATACTATTTTTTTTAATTTATAACAGACTACTGTGGGTTTTTTAATTGCCTGAAGAATGAAAAACTGACATAAGTAATCTGAATTTTTGTCTGTTAAATATGAGTATTTACTTTATTTGGCTCTGCTTTAACTATAACTGTTACTTTTCAAGTGAATTTGTTTATGTACATGCAAGGAATCCTTGCATGTCCTGGTAAAGTACAAATAAATTACTACAAACTGATTCCAATTTCCTTTTTATCCTTTTTGTATTGTGAAACTGGAAATCTTTATGATATTGTAAATTATCAGCTGGTTTTCTGAACATAGTGTGGAAACACGGGACAATATTTTGATCTATTTGATAATTTTGTGGGTTTTTTGAAGAATTAATGAGCATGTACATAGAAATAGTGACTGCTTGAATACTGTATTTACCTGCACTCTTTCAGTACTTCAAGATTCCTGTATATTTTATGGAGCATAATAAAACCCAAATGTGAGTTCTACTAATGAATAATGTATTTGTATCTACTAAGCATTCATGACAAAGTCTCCTTTGTTGAACTGTTAAGAGTTTATAAAATTTACTTCACAAAGGCTTTGACAGCACTTTAATTCTAAAGTGAAGGTGAGCTATTTAAGTTTGAAGTCATTTTCGGTGTTAAATTACTTCATTATTCCTTTAGGCTTCCTTGGAAGTGTTACTTTCTCAGCCATTTGTGCCGTGTTCACTGTTACTTATGCAGCAAGTTTGTCTGTTAGCAGAGTTAGATGACTTCAGGGAAACCATGATTTCTGTGTTTTCTTCCCTCTGGATCTTTCAAAGTGCGGGGCTATGTAGGAGTGATGTTTGTGCCTCGGCTGAGCACACAAGCATCACTCAAAAGATCCATCTTGGCCTGTCTTGAGAGTCACTGCCTCCATGGAAATGCAAAGGTTGAATTATTCTTGGTGGAACCCATTTTTCGTCATGTGCTCGTGGAAAACCAGACTCAGAATGGCAAGTAGGATGCTGTTAGTTAAAAGGTAACAATTGCATATTTCTGTGAATGAAACTGTCCCATTTTTGTTGCTTTGAAGGAACTGTGAGAAGTTGATACTGATAGGCCTGCATTATCTGTGCTAATTTCTGTTTGACTTCAGGATGCCCTGTTACCCAGCGTGGGGTCTGCAGTCACGGGGCAGTTGGTAGGAGGGGACGCTCCTGTCTTTGAAAAATCCGCAGGGCAGCAGAGACTGAGAACTGCCCCTGTCCACTGTGTGCCCGGGTGATGGAGGAGACAAAGCTCGGAAGGTAAAGATTTGGGTACGGAATACAGGCAATTGCAGATTTGTTTCTTTATGTCAATCAGAAATTGTGCCTCTTCCATTTCATTACTGCTCACCTCTTGAGGAAGAAAACAATTTTGCTGCATTAAATTGCTTTGGTTTTAAGTTTTGTGAACTTCTTAGAGCTAAAGATCTGTCCTTTTTTACTACAAATTACTACAAATTATTCCATTTAGGAATTCAGAGTTACGTGATTTGGGTGTCTCATCTATCTCATCATTAGAATTTATTCAGTGAGCCTGTAGATTGCAATTTGCATGTAATTTGTAGGAGGTTCCTATTTAAAATAAAACAACTAACTCCATTACTACCTGGCAGTATGGGTAGGACAGTAATTGTGCCTTGTAAGTGATAATTGGGACTATCATGATAATATGGTCTTATTCCAAAAATGGAACATGATTTGTTTAAAGTACATGCTACTGTTGTCAGAGACCACTTTCTTAATGAGAAATAAAGGAACAGAGGGTTCCTTGCTTCTGTAAAACAAATACTGCTGCCTGTGGCTGATGGAGGTGTTTTTTTAGGGTTTTTTTTGTTTGGTTTTGTTTTTTAAAAGTAAAAGTGGTCATACCTCAGTGGAGGCCTGTTCATGTCCAGAAAATTGTATTGGAAGCCCCATCTTTCTAAAAGAAATCCTCCTCTTTTTGTACAGATGAATAGGGCACAGTTATTACAACCTTCAACCATAAACTTGGATCTTGGTTTTTGGTTTTTTGGTTTTTTTTCTGCTTGTATTTTCTCATTTAAAAAACTGACTTGTCTACCAGGCTACAGAATTAATAAATAGTTAAAAAAAGAGTTAAAAATGAATTACTTCAAAATTTTGCTCTTTTTAACATAAACACAAAGGGCATTAAAGATCCCAAAGGTGTTACCTAAGGTCTACAGAAGATCACTAAAAAGGAGCATGAGATAATGTTTACAGATGCTTCAACCCAGTTAATTTTGGGTTTGGTGGATTTAAGAGAGGAATTAGCCTTCCTGTCTTGCCCAGAGATTATGTCTCTTCAAAGGCAACAACTACTGAAGTAATCCAGAATAACATTATTTATTTATATTCTACTTTATAGCCAACAAAAAGAGAGAATGTTCATTAAATCCAGTTGGTTTGAGATAACACAAGGGCTGTTCTGGTAGCTCAGAAAAAAAAAACAGTCATTGGGTGACCTTTCTGTTAATGATGCAATAAGGGGGTGAGGGGATAAGGCTGTAGCAAGACTGCAAGGAGCAGTGAATACTGTGCAGAGAGAGGACTGTGCTCTAGCATATACTTGTGAGGTTTTTCGTGTGCATAATCACGAAACTTTCTTAACAGTGCTAGATGTGTCTGGGGAGCCCACACTACGTATGTTTGGATCAGTGATGTTCACATCTTAAAAACTGAAACATAAATACAAAGGGTAAGTGTATCTGGAAACAGCAGTCGTGGAGAGCTGGAGGACACGCTTTTTGGCTCGGTGTACCTCAGGGTGGTTGAGGGAGGTGTGTGGTTGTCCCCAGCTGCAGCGGTGAGAGTGGCAGGAGGATCTGGGGAGCCCACACTACGTATGTTTGGATCAGTGATGTTCACATCTTAAAAACTGAAACATAAATACAAAGGGTAAGTGTATCTGGAAACAGCAGTCGTGGAGAGCTGGAGGACACGCTTTTTGGCTCGGTGTACCTCAGGGTGGTTGAGGGAGGTGTGTGGTTGTCCCCAGCTGCAGCGGTGAGAGTGGCAGGAGGAGCTGGCAGGAGCCCCCTCCTCATCTGCCACCACTTTCCCTGCTCTGTGACTCTGCTGATAGTGCACATCCACTTCCCAAAAGAAATGCCATCATGTGTTTGGTTAAAAGCATTGGCTCCTGATAACAGTAATTCCCCATAATCCAGTCCTGGTTGGATCATACTAATAACCTTGGAGAGAAGGCCCTTTATAATCTCTTAATAAGCAGTTTAAACTTTAAACACCGCTTCCCATAGGTCTGGATTTAAACTTGGCAAAATCCATTTTAATATCAGGAAAAAGTAAGCATTTAAATTCTTGAAGTTGGTCCAGCAAATCCTTAAATCCAAGATTGACCGGTAATTATTGCCTCTTGTAGTAATCTCTCAATGATTTGTGATGACTTCCTCACAATCCTTTAATATGCTGCAGAAGCTGATGGGTCAGTTGGAGATTTCTTTCAGATTAGGATTAAAGACCTTTTTTTGTAAATCTGTAGCTGTGACTCTAAATTGGACAAGATAAGAATTTCTACAACATGGGGTCTCCCTTACAGACTGAAAGCTGCAAAGTTATATGTGAAGAGATGCAATATGGGCCTCTTTGGTAAACTGATGATAGCACTGGCTTTTTTATTTTTCTGGCACCCTTTCTCACTGTAATATCCATATGCTTAGAAGAATGTTAAGTGCCAAGGAGCCACCGTGCATTAATTTGAAATGGCAGAAAAACCGGCTATTCGTTAAAAAATCCTATAATTATATTTATAATGATCTATAAGCCTTATCACAAAAATCCCTTTGTTTTACTGCTTAACAGGAGAAGCCAATGCCTGGTTGGACATTGTAAATGTCACCCAGGCCCCATGTTTGACCCATGCGTATCTACTGAGAGAAAAACTGTCTGAAATGGCAGCCTCAAAAAGAGCATTTCTTTCAGCTGTTCAGTCATCTAGAGCCCCTAAAAATTGCAAGGGGGGGGGGGGAAGTTACAGATGTGACTCAAATTTTCAGGCTGTGGGCTTCTTTCCTGTCTCTACAACTCATCTCACAACTGATGGGAAGATGGGAAGAAAGAAGATGAATGTTGCTACTTGTGGGACTTGAAGGTCTCTTTCCAACCCAGTATCCCAGTCTCTTCAGCACTGTTATTTGTCTTCAAATAAAGCAGTATCTAAATTATCCATGCTTCCCTGGTGCTGTGTGTTATGTTACACTGGGGTAAGCTGAGCTCCCTCTGTTCCATGCTGTTTTAGCCATTTGCAAGCCGAGATTAGGAAAGGAATCCTGCTGTATTTCACTGTGTAACTGTAAACATAGTTGAATAATATGGAACCTAAAGACTCTTTCAAGCTGTCTTCATATTGTTAGTGTCACTAAATATTTAAAGTGCAAAAGAACACCTTACAGTTTCTTTTTTTCATTAAAATTGCAACAGAAAGAACCAGGTATTTTGCTACTCGGATTCACAACAGAACAAGACAAACCCTTGCTTCCAAGCCTTGTCAGATGACGGATGTGCAGCATTCCTTCTTGTACCTGCGGGCTGACTTAGTTCAGAAAGCTTAAGACATTGAGATGTTCTTTTATGTTAAATGATTAAATTAGATACCTTAAATAGTTTTAAAGAAAAACCTAAGATATTTCCTATCCCTTGCCAAATTTTGTTACTCAAGCTATCTGCAGTTTTCTTAAAATCATAAAAATCTTTTTTTAGAATCTATTAACATCTTACTGAATTTCTAATCTCTTCTCCCAAGAGCTTGTTTGATCTGCTGTGGGTACCACCATTGTCTCTGGCTTCTGACCTGCATTGCCTATGCCTGCCCTCCCAGTGGAGGGAGGAAGGAGAGCACAGTGCATCTCTGAAGGACTTCCATGGCTGTTGACCATTGAAATCTTGATTGAGTGGTAACTCACTTCAGCCTGTGAATATTTGGGGCTTTCAGGAATGGCATCTGTCACCACTTCTGTATGGTTGAGATTTTTTTTAACCTACATAAATGGAGGAGAAAGGAATAGTTCTTTCTAGCCACTGAATCTGCATGTGTCAGTAGTAGTGGTTAGGCATTGTTCAAGTCCTCTTTTTTGTAACAGTTCTGAAAATGCCATTTTCTGCAGTTGGCTCTTCTGTTCACTTTAGATGGTAAGTCTGAAGCAGCCAAAGAGGATGGTCAGGTTTTTTTGTATTGGTCCTCTTGAGTTTTCTGTGATGCTGGGGTGTTCGTTAAATACCTAATGCTGCAAGACGGGTCGCAGCCTGGGCAAAGGATCCTGTGCTTCATGACAATGGCTTCCTTACTTCCATGTTGACTGCAGGAGGCTCCTGAAGCTCAGTCACTCAGTCCGGTTCATTGCACCTGTAGAGCTCTGCCCAAATGAGCTTACACCCACTTGTGCATTGTGAAGATCTCTGATCTGCACAGATGTTCCCAGTCTGTTACCAGTTCCTCAGCCTGTTCACATGCATCTTAGTAACTTAACTCCAAAGTCCTGTTTGCCAGATGTTCCTTTGGTGTGCTTGCTGGTGGTTTCTCTTGCTGTAATCAGAGTAATCCCCACATCCACCTGGAAACCTCCCTGGTCATGTGAATCCCAAAGCAGCAGATCCATTATGAAGAAACCCCCAACACCTCTGACTTGCATGCTGTTACCCGTACCTGGAGAGTTCCTCTGGTTATTGGCCCCTTCCCAGGGGCAGTGTCAAGGCCCTTTAAAGACATCATCCCCCACTGCCTTTCTCATTCTGGATGTTCCTTTGGCCTCACTACAGATTCCTAGATCCTGATTTTAATTTAATCCAAGAAACCAAGGAATTTAAAGCTGTTCTAGACTTAAGCTGTACTTCCCATATGTCAAAAGATCTTTGTGTGTTCTGGTTTGTCTCTGTTTGCACTCACAGATGGAAACCATTCAGGAAGCTTTAAGAAAACTTTGTATCCATTGAAGAGATACTAGAGGATGGGCTGTGTTACAGTATGTTATGAATCTGCCTCTGCGACTATCATCAGCCTTGCTGAAGGCTTCTCACACCTCCTCAGTAAATGGTACGCAGCTTCACTCACGTGAACTCCGAGTTGTC